AAAAAACATAAATTAGGGAAATTAACAAAAAATGATTTTTAATCCAATTTCCAAAATATTTTCATTCCTTAGGAGTATTTAAAGCAGTATATTACAGCAAATAATTTATCACTCCATCACCAGAGCTGTTTTACAAAATACATAATGAAGGGATGATGTATATACTGCATGATATTAGCAATCCTCTGGAATGATGATTCAACCAAAAAAAACAACTGAATCCATCTCGAAATACAAAATTAATTCTGCTGTGCATTATTTCCGATCCAACAAGCCAAAGAACAATCCACAAGCATTTTGACATGCGTACTACTACCGCAATCACTGACGAGAAGTATGAAGTTGTAATTTTAACCAAAGTTCAAAAATATTTCAAGCATATTCGCTTACATCTTCACAAGAGTGTCTTACTAATTACTACTAGCAATAAACAAATAAGAAACCGTAACTTCATCTTTGAATCACTTTTGGAATTATTAATTAAAAACCTCATTGAATAATTAGAACCGGAGGACTGGGCTTAGAAATATACCATATGGACAGTAAGCCCACTAATGTGATAATGACATGAATACAGTTATAAGTGACATGCAAAAAGAAATGCACAATAAAAATCAGTCGGAAATAATCGCGAAAAGCAGCTATAACATGAAATAAAAATAACCCTTGAAAAAATCATAGCTTAAATTCGTAACGATTTTAAAAAAATAATATCACAAAAAGTTAGGTATCACCTTGGAAAAAATATCACATTTCTGGACAAGAATTTTGGTTAACCGGAAAATTAAAAAAATAAGAGTCCGTAGCATGAAAAAAAAATGAAATAAAGGTTCAAAATAGGGAAAGTACTATAAAATGGCTTATTCACCTCAAAGATATGAAAGACCAATGTGACAAATTCCATGATTTTCTTTTTTCTCTTTTTTTAAAACCTTTTTTTATAGATAGTGGACTAACTAGCCAGGGAGAAAAATGAAAATCATAGAATTGGCTCAAGCTAGAAATCGCTATTCTGGAAAGTGCATTCAACTTCGCTACTAACAATGAAAAGAAGGGGAAGGAAATAATTATCTTAAAAAAAGGTTGAAACAATTATCTTAAAAGAAGGTTGACGAAGTCGGAAAATTGTAAAATTTTTGTAGGAATTCGAAAAAAAAAAGATGAACCTAACGTATGTCCATATTTATCAGAAGGAGGCATTAAAAAATGTGTGGTAAATGACATGTGCGTTACAGAAGTAATCTGAATTACATACATTTTTGTTTTCAATTCACGAGCTATACGAAAGAAAATTTCATATTGAAAGAAAATTTGAAAGAAAATTTCACATTAACTTGGTTGCTTATCGAAAAATAACAAGAAAAGCGAGATACATCACAGAACTGGGACATAAAATTTAAGAAATCGAAAAAGAATCAACTATTAACAGTGAGCAATCAAAAATAATATTAAAAAAGTGTCATGGAGTTGCTATTCTAGCTTCTTGAGTAAACTGAAACTATAAGACTTCCTTGCACCACCGCAGTAACGAGAAAATCTGGATTAAAATGACAGTAAAATTCCAACCAAAAGAAAATTAACATTCATGGCAGTGTAACCTCGACCATTTTATGACAAATGATCTTAACCACATGGCCTAAGGTCCACCATATATTCTAATAGGTAAAATGAGAAAAACGAAAAAAAAAGTGCTGACAGATTAAAAGTTAGAAACACAACCAATGAAACGCAGATTTTGTAACCGAAGCGCAACTTCAAAAAAGCACTGATGATAGAAACGCACATTGAGTAATATGAAGATCCCCAAAGAAATAAGTTTTAACGAGAAGAGAGATTTGCAGCGGAAGAGATAAGACCTTGTACTGTACCTCCAACCCAACCATGATTCCGCTGCTCCTCTTTCGCTACTACTGCATTCATCTGTTCATGCGTAAATCTCGCTACAGTCGCAATCACTCGAGCCAATGTCTATAACAATTAATTTCAAGTAAATTAATAGTGCAAACATCTGAAGAAAAAGTAATAAGTGATAAAATACCATTCAGAGAGCCTAACTTCAAAGTTCGAATTTATCTAAGAGAAGAAATTGTTGTTTGAGTCATATACTTTATATCCGAAAACAGGATCTAGAAATACAAAGTGGTGCTAGTACTGGCATTTCGTATGCTCGTAAATTTTAAGCAAAATAATGTTCCACGAATGCGACATTACAGCTGCGCTTATAACAAAACGTACAATATAAGCAGTATGCACTAGAAGCGCAAACAGATCTTGATTGATAATATTTTTCGATTGCTAACAAAATTTACAAATTAAGACCACTTCATTTCATCTTAAACTCCAAAAAATTTTTTTATTGGCAAACAGAAAAAACTCACAACACTCTCCCTGCCCAATGTTTCTCGTTCATTCATGTATCGATATAATACATTTCTCAAATACTGAAATACATGTTACCTTGAAACTGTATGAAAAATAAACAAGCACTAAAGTGATAAGTTACGATACACGGGAGTGCTTTATTTTCTAACGACGGTTGGATTTATATAAGGGAAAATCATGTCATAATGATAAAATATGGTCGTAAACAAAAGTCCTCTGCAGCAGCTGGCTAAAACACTTCAACTCAGAAATTTATCTTGGAAAAAAAAACCGAATAATTTAATAAGAAATAAACTAACTTCAGCTTCAGTAGGTTCTGCGAAGACAGCACTGTTATTACTCAGATACCCTTTATCTTTCTATAAATAATGAAACATATTTTCCGACGTAAAATAAAAAGTATTGTGGGAAGAGAGAAGACAGGTGAAATAAGATGGTATTTCAAGAGTAATGAAAATTAAGTAAACAAGGTTCTGAACCATTAAGTACCAAATAACAAATATACCGAGATGGATCCATTGGTGACTGATTCCAAGCCAATAACATTGAACTGTTCAGTAGAGTATGCCTTCCTACACAATAGTGTTAATTCTTTCTTGTAACGAAAATAAAATAATAATAAAGCAAACTGTAGAAGTACATTTATGACACTTTTAAGGTAATAAAAATAATCAATTGCTTACTTGTGGGATTCCTTAATATTTTTTAATTGATTCTGGTATTCTGCCACTTGTTCCCGTAAAGCACATAATTCTTCGTAGTCCTGGAAATTAGTGATCACATATTATCATTTTTATCGCAAATATTGCAGTTGTAATTTGTGAGGAAACGAGACTCGGAGCTCATCCTTTCATGCAGTTCTAAAAACTGCGATCTTGTAAGTAAAATAAGAACTTAAAGAACAAAGTGAAGAAGTCAAAGTGAACATAAACTGATGAAGAAAGGAGCAATCCACTGGCAGCCTAAACCAACTTAACGATATCAGAAAACGGAACTTGATAATGAAAACGATTAACTTATCAACATGAAAATCTCGATTAGTTCAACAAATAACATACAGTCAGTTCAATTAAGTCTGAGCTGTCCCTCAAACGTTTCCCTTGCGCATCTGTTCTGTGACCACTTTTCGTGCAAATATCCTCAAGTTCATCACTTTTAGTTTTTTTGTCTGATAGTTCCTAAAAACCAAAGAAAGGGTCTCTTCGACATGATAATTCTAATCATGAAATTTTGCTATCAGCAGCATGGTGAATTGGAATAGCATTTTCTCTCACTTTGGATACTAATTAATAACTTGATAATTTTGGAAAAGTCACAAATATAATGTATGAGAAAAAATCACTACATATAAATTAATTCAATATCCCCGGACAGCAAGCGCACCTGCAGCTTGGTTTGCGCCTCATTTAACTGTTGTGTGCGTTCGTTTAAATCATGATATAACTGCTTGATTTCTTTTTGCAAATCACGCAATAACCGGTGTCGCTCTGATTCCGCTTTGGCTGTAACACCATACATGAATCAAATAAAGAGCCATACGCAGATTAAAAATCATTAGGTAATTCTGCTTAATTCTTAAGCACCTTAGTTACACTTGCCTGAAGCTTTCGCTGATTCCTCACTCGCAGTTTTTTGCACAGTTACAATTTCTAGTCGCAGTCTTTTCACTTCCTTTTCAAAATTCTCAATCTCATGCAATAACATTTTTCGTTCTTGTTCCAACTGCTCAGCAACTTGAGTGGTTTCTGAAAATAATCCTTTCATGGAAATCTAAATGACAAATTAAATACTATTGGAAAAAAAAAACAGAGGCACTTCGTCTTTCTCTTGCGTCATCAGATTCTCAGGTAAATTTAATACGAACAATGATAACCTCGCAAATGCGTATTTTGAGCATTTACATTTTCTAGTTCATCTTGTAACGAAGTGATTTGTTGACTCTGTGATTCTAATTGTCTCATTGTTTCTTCTGCAGCTATACGCATAGAATTTAGTTTGGCTTCCACTTCAGTACACTTCTGAAATTATAAACAGAATGCAAAAATGCAGCAGATATCTACTAGATTTACCCATCTTAGAGGTAGAAAAATGTAAATTTCTCAAATTCCCAATTTCGAAGTAGTTTATAATGATAGATTAAGGATTTCTGATTACAACCATTTAGAAGTTCATGTAAAACTGTTTTAGAAGTTTCGCTCCTGAAAAAGGGAACAGTGCAGCATTGTCATCTTTATTATGCTGAATTTATGATATGATTACATCCAAACTTCTATTCTTACAGTCAGTACGGATTACATATAGCGAGAAAAGACGAAAGTTTAACATTCAGTTCCATGTCTCTTTCACTGGATATCGTTTGGATAGTTGCCCGCAAATCATTTATTATTTTTCTTTCATTATGTCCATCATTAGAAAGTTTTCGTTCCAAGCAACTGATATGTAACTTCTGCTCTCCAATTTGCAAGTCTCTTTCAGCTATTTGTGATCGCATTTCATCGATCTGGAAAAATAAGGAACATAGAAATACTAACAAAAGCAATGGTAACTTTGAAATCAGCATATATCAGATAAATTCAAGATGTATCAGTCTGGCAACATCCGATAGGAAGCTGTATCTCAGCAATAAAATTATGTTAGTGATGTTTGTATAGTCCGGGCATTCTTTTTGAAGCGTTTCTTAGAAATCCCACAAGGCACCAGACAAGATACTTTTAATAAACCTGCAAAAGAAGCTCTGCTTTCGCAGCCTTTCCATCCGCTTCACACTGTTCATTTATTTTCAATGCTTCCTGCTCCGCCATCTTCTTCATTTCTTCTCTTCGTTGCTCATTTTCCTACAATTTGATAAATTTGTGCTGTGAAAATAATGGCTATCTTCCAGTTCGAATAAAATGAACTGAACAATCCTAAACTTTGGAATCTAAAAAAGAGAAAGATATTTCTTCGACTTTAAGCAATACCCTGAGCGGAAAATGAAAGATCGATAAAAATAAGTGAAAGATCGATAAAAAATAAGTATAAATGAAAGGAAAAAAGTAATTAATCACCTGTTTGAGTTGTTGTATGACCTTTTGACAATCTTCTTTAGCTAAGAAAAGCTCAGCAATAAAGCGATCTTTTTCGATTCGTATAAGATCCAAACCAGCCAGCTGCTTTTTTGCTTCTTCCAAATCGTCGTTTGCATTTTTCAGTGCGATAGCATACTGATTTCTGAACGATCACTTATTCCTCGACGCATTTTACAAGTTAACGAAAAACCGAGGAAATGGAATATGCTGACATAGAGCTAAAGATTTATTTGTGCTTTACGATCGCAATCTCATTTACAAACCTATATGATTCCACTTTTCAGGAATGACTTGGCTATCTAAATTATAACTGTGGACACGGAAAAAAAAATTTCTAAGTGTCCTGATATCTAGGTTGTAGCGAGTTAAATGCAAAATATAGCTTGGCACCTCATCATTACTCCTTATCAAGCTTCAATTCATTCAGCTAATGAACCAAAAACATTTAATACGATATGATTTTTCAAGTAATGACTGGCATCTCTATTAATTCGTCTTTTAACTTTTTAGATATCAAAAGATGTAGAAACGTATGGGAACATTACTTTAAAGGAAGCTTTAAAACATGCCATATGATGCACATCTAATAAAAACTTAGAATTTGAAACAGTAATAGTTGTGGCAACAACATGGCATTCCATTAGCTAAGGGACTAGTCAAGAAGAACTACTGTCAATTCTGCTTAAAACGAAATTATTATGATCTCGTTGTTTGGAAAAAAAAGCTCATATTTCAAGTAATTAAAAAAATGGAATGGTTCCGACATTAGGTCTTGCAGGAGTCGATTTTACACCGGGACAAATTTGGGGTGTTAAGCGATTAGACAAAAATAGCAGTATAACTTGAAATATGTATAACCTTATCTTCTGTTCCTCTTCTTTCTCCTCTTTTTTTTTTTGTAATTCAATTTCAAGAAATTCCTCATTGCTTTGTCTCTCGTGAAGTTCGACCTTCATTTCGTCCAAAATTCTTTTTGTTTCAGCAAGCTTCTTTTCCAGAATTAGTTGTCGTTCCTGTTCCGCTTCTGAACTTTTTTGCCCTGATTCTAAGTCAGCAATTTTTTTCACTCCTTGCTCTTTTATCTTCTTCTGCAGTTCATTCATGATATTTTCCTGGAACCACATCAGTTACTTTCTGAATACGCCCCAATAACAAAAATATGGAAAAATTCTACCAATCAGTTAGTCATTTCTATAACCGGGATTGTAAAGCTGTTTAAGGATCAAAATATAATGCAAAATAAGAATCAATTGATATTGATTTCATGATACTGATTGAAGCAATCAATATCATGAAAAGCATATTTTATAATTTGGACTCATTTCCTCTAGTTATAAATTTTCCATTCACTAAGTCAATTTCGATAACCTTTAGAAATGTACCTTTTGAAGAAATTCAACCCTTAACTTCTCGTTCATTATTTCTAGTTCTCCATTTTTCGTTATTACTTCATTTAGCTTTGATGATGATTCTTTAACCTCATTTCCAGCAATAATAATCGCGCTCCGCAGATTATTTGCTTCGTCAATCTTAACAGAAACATCCCTTAAGATGGTGACATCGTGACCGATGCTAACAAATTATCTCCAAATGAACTAGTTAAGATGATAAAACATGAAACAAGTAAAGCTCCTATCCTCTACTTGATAAAATATCAGTTGTTTGACATAATTTCGATGGCTATCAAACTCTGTTTTCAAAGTGCTACAAGTTATACATTGTCGACCTGAGCACTACCAAATGCAAATTTTTTGATTAAAGCTTGAAAGTCTACCATTGCATTAACTCTACATTCAAATCTCCTAATACAATAATTACTACAGCATTTCGAAATTCCAATATTTTTTCACAGAATTTTCAAAACTGCCTTAAAATTTGACAACTGAATAAAATACCAGATTTCTTAATTCTTTTTTCAGTCTCCCTACTTCTGAATCACTTTTGTGTAGAGTTTCACGAAAATTCGCTTCCATTTCTTCCATTTTCATCTTTAAATTATCCCGGTTATTACGAATATCTTCCATCTCTTTCATCATATTATTCTTTTCTTCCACAATTTCTTGTAGATTTCTTTCTAGTGTTTCTATATTAGCCAGAAACAAAGATTTTTCATTTTCCACCCTGAAATTTCATAGGAAAACAATTTACATGTTTTTCTCACTTTTAATAAAGAGACAATGATGATTTTAAACCAAGTTTGAAGCACTCAGTTTCTCTAATATAATTCCATGATTAAAGCAACGAAATGTTTTATACTATTAGACGAAACTAAAGATTTACTAAGGGAAAATCTGTCTACTTAAACAAACTTACAGATTTAACTTGCTCCGAAGCTTTTCAAGTATTTCATCTCTCCTCTTAAGACTTTCAACTTTTAAACTTGGTATTTCTTTACTATCAGACAGACATGGTTTTTCCAACTCCATGTTTTCCAGAAGGACTAAATCCTGAAAAAATGAATAAAAAACAAACTGTTTTCCCATGAATCTAAAGACCCCCTCACCAGTTTTGGTGAGGGGATCTTTAGATTTTAGATTTTAAGATAAACATCTTAAAGACGTGAATAATGGCATAGTTCAACTGAATATTCCATTTGTGCCAATGCTCCGATCTTTTATTGTATGAATATGATACGTTTTGTTTGTTACAAATTTTCTGCAGAAATTTCTCGCTAAATTAAATCTGAAGATTTTACAAACTTTGATTGCTATTATTAAAAAAAGGACAAACTTGTTCTGGAATATTTATTATCGATTTGAAATCTGTTTCCTCCTCCAAATATTGCCCTACAAAGTTCACTTCTTCGCTCAAGAGATCCTCTTTTGGTTCTGATCCTGCCTAGAAATTTTATTTCTTTTTGAGATTTATTTTTCTGATTCCAGCAACTTGTTATTAGGTTAATATTCCGAATATTTGGAAATGATAACCAATACGGCAGTATCTAAGATAATCAGCAAATTTTCTGACCTAGTAATATATATTTACGACAATAAATAATAATAAACAATAATAATTAATTGATTAATTAATTAATAATAATAATAATAATAATAACGATTAATAATAATAATAATAATAATAATAATAATAATAATAATAATAATAATAATAATAATAATAATAATAATAATAATAATAATAATAATAATAATATAATAATAATAAAATTAACAATTTATT